CTTTTTACTTCCATCCCCCATATCTTCCCCCACCTGCATATCTCCCTTCTTTGTTATTTTCTAGTTCCCACATGTCCTCACCCAGACACCTGGCGAGCCCTCTGCCCTTTTCCACTAACTTCTCTCAAGGGCAGTCAGGTGCATTGTAACCTAATTTCTAAGCATGTGATATTGACACATCGATCTAACAGCAGCCCTTGGAAGCACCCCGCTGACTCATTTTTATATTGATTCCAACTGCAATCTCATTCTGGGAGCGCCCTTTGAAGTGCTGGGATTCTGCTGGCCATTTTATGAACAGCTCATACTATTAAGTGAAAGACTAAATGAATGTTCCAACATTCCAGGAGAACCCGGAGAGAAAATGAATATGTGTAACTGGGTGGAGGAAGCCTGGGCTGGTGCCACTGCTTCAGTGTTGAGTCTCTGTGTCATTTCCCTTAGTGAGTTGTGCTCTCACTGCGGTCAGGGCACGTGGAAGGTCTCAACAGCGCTCAGTAAGCTGGCCTGAAGGCCAGCACCACGGTTCCCTGGTGCCACCATAGCCACCAAGGTCCTCTGGGTGTGTGCAACAGGGATACCTCTGGCCAATGTAAGCCAAAGGGAGTCTAAAAGAAGAATGGAGAGCACCCGCAGGATTAAGGGAAGGTTGGAAAATCAGTCTTAGAAATGGGTAGAAAGCAAGCAAACTTCTAGAAGCTAAGAAGCAAGAACCATATCAAAGGTTAAAAGTCTCTGGTCAGGATACTTCACCTGGATGGGATGAAATTTCCATCATGTCCACTCTCTTTGTCCCTCTGTTCAAATTCACTTTCCATTGAGGGAGCATCTGATTGGCCCAACATGGATCACAAGCCTGTTTACCAGCAGTGTGCGCAGACTGTATCCTACAGGGAAAAGATAATCCCTCGAAAGAAAATCAAAGTGTTATTAGGAAGGAGAAATGGGCAATCGGCCTTCTGACTCAAGAAACAGCCACAAGACCTAACTGCTGTGTGATAGTAAAGGAGACAAGAAACCTTTTGTGCTTCCAATCAGGCCATGAACCACTGAAATCCCAGGTTTTGTTTTCATTTTATTTCCTCTGTAATAGCTTTTTAAGAACAATGTGATGGGACAACCATCCTAATGGACTGGTGGAAGAGAGGGAAAATCCCCCGAAAAGTATTGTCATTTCAGTTCCTCTAGGCTTAGTCTATACCTGGAATTAAAAGAAAGACTTTTAGGACTGGGTCTGGGGCTCAGTGGTAAAACACTGGCTTGGCATACATGAGGCCTGGGTTCAAATCCCACAAAAGAAAAAAGGAAGGAAGGAAGGAAAGATAGACTTTTAATGCGGTATTTTGAGTGAGACCTTTATACATGTATTCCTTTTGATAAAGTTTGTATCTATGGAAGTTATTTTCTGAGTCCTCCTTTTTATTTTTCAAGTTATTACTTTCCAGATGCATAATTTTCTCAAGCAAATTTGTTAAAAGAGGTATTCTGGGGGCTGGGGATGGGGCTCAAGCGGTAGCGCGCTCGCCTGGCATGTGTGAGGAACTGGGTTCGATCCTCAGCACCACATAAAAAAATAAAATAAAGATATTAAAAAACATGTTGAAACAGAAAGATATTTTTAAAAAGAGGTATTCTGTCCCCATTTTATAATGTAGAAACTGATTAATCAAAAACTAATTTATCTAAAGTCACATAGTTATTTATAAAAACAGGCCAAGAGTCAAAATTTCTTCACTCACAGACATTTGCTTATTTAAGTCTGAGATCCCAAATTGGGGCCAGTGACACACTTAGATCTTGCTAAAAGAGATCCCTGCCTTGAGATCCCACACTTAAAGCCCCTCACTGTGGCCCTTTCTTGTCCCATGGACTAAAATGAAGTGATCACCCAAGCTCATGCTTCTTCCTTTAGACCACACTCTTCGTCCCAGGACCTCAGTCAGCATCCTCTCAAACATGGCCAAATCCATCTAAGTGTGTTCTCCCCGGGCAGTCTGCACGCTTGATGTGTACAGCGCTAATTCAAGGGGCAGGTACAGGGGGACAGACAGAGCTTGACTTGTAGGCTAAGATATGCAAGACCCCTGGTAATGCAGGATGGAGGCGAGAAGGGCAGGGGGCCAGGATCCTGCTTTCCCCACACTGCTCCATTACTGTGAACTCCAAGTTATCCTAGAACTCTGATTTCACCCCAGGTTTTTATGCTGCTAGGAAGGCATATATTTTCATTGTAGGTTGAGAGAACATATTTTGTTAACAGTTCATGAGCTTGATTTATACCTTTTAAATATTTAGATATATGATATGTGGGCCTCCATTTGTACTCTGACCCCAGGCCCTCCAAATGTTAGGTGTGGGCTTACAGTATGCCAACATATTCTGTTTGGCTAGCACACCGTGTGTGTGTGTGTGTGTGTGTGTGTGTGTGTGTGTGTGTGTGTGTGTTTCACATCTTGAATCAGTTTCCAGCATTTAACAATTAGAGACTTCATATAAGAATAGAGATGCCTGGTTTCAAGGAAGGAAGGAAGGAGGGAGCGTTGGGCAGGAAGGAAAGAAGGAAGAGAGGCAGGGAGGGGGGAATCATGTAATTCGGGGCCTGTTCACTTGAATGGCACGAAGCCACCAGAGCTACCCAGCAACTGCCATTCTAATGAAGACTGGGCGAGTGTTTTCCAATGGGTCATAGTTCCCACCTGTCTCCCTTCACTCATTTGGGTGACCTCTGACCTTCTGGTCCTTAGGGGCATTGGAGTTTGTCAACCTTATTAAAGTGCTTCTTAGCTATGTCCTTTCTATTTTTATAAAGCCATCTACTACCACATTTAACAATGGTTTGGGTCTCTTCTCGCCAAATTCCCTCAGAGAAAATTTGGGATTTTATTTTTTTCCTCCATTAGTTAAATGTAAATTCCTAAATTTCAATATGGATAAATGCCTATAATTTTGGCAAGTTAGTCCCAAACTTCTGAATCTTGGGGACTCATTAAAACAACAAGAATTTCAAGAGAGCAGTCTCTCTGCGGGATCCTCTCCTTTCACCACGCCATGTGAACTGGAAACCCAACGGGATGGATTTTCTCACTTTGACCCCAGTGAGGGAGGGAGATTTTTGATAATGACAAAGGGCTTTTGTTCAGGTCTGCATCAGGATACATCAACGTGCCCCCACTGCACGGCCCCTTCCTTCTAGGCTCATCTTCCCTTTCTGCCCCAGAAGAGCCCCCAGCCCTTCCTCCACGGGGCCACAGCGCGCCCTCCCCCTCTCCCGCCTCTTGGTCTGGAAAACAGCTTTGCACATTAACCTCCAGGGGCATTCACTGGGTTTCCAGCGGGGTCCCCAGCCCCACAGGCTGCCAAAATAGGCTCTTTACACTCCATAGATGGGAGAGAAAAATCTGCTTGTTCGGTTGCAACTGTCAAGCAAAGGACGTGCTGAGCTCAGATAGAAATAGCAGCAGGGTCAGGGCAGGGCAAGGCCCCAGCATTTCATTAGCTCAGCCCAGCTAAGGGTGATTAAATGCACACAGTGGTCCATGAATGGGGCCGCAGAGGGCAGCCACACAGAGCAGCACAGAAAAATCATTCTTTGGCTGCTGTCAGCTGGCTGAATGGGACTTAATTATCGGGATAATGAGAACTGATTTTCATTGTTTTAATTTGGGAGAAGGAATGAGAAAGGAGGAATTTTTTTCCCTCCTCTGGATGAAAGGATGCTAAACTGTGGCCTCCTTTGGGGTCCCACATATTCCAGCCTGCTGTTAGCTAAGACTCCAGAGTTTTTTTCTGAAAGTGTTCGAGCTGTCTTCATGTTGGTGCTTCCTTCAGGCGCTATGAGCTGGTGTAAGGGCATGTCTATGCTGGCATCCGGCCCCAGAAGTCCCACCAAAGCCACGTGGACAGAGAACATCACTTGGACAGTTCTGCCTTGGCTCTGCCCCTTCCCAATGCTTCCAGTCATGAGTGAACCATATTTAAAACTCCAAGATCTAGAGAGTTCAACTCGTCTTTGCAGGGCAAATATAGAATTCTGAATTATTTGCACGTTATTGGAGGCACAGACCATGCCCCAGCTCTGTATGGGTCGCCAGAATTCTTATAAAGCCAGAATTCTTGGTCAATTGAGATAAGCTCTGAGCCCCATGAACCATGAGCGTCATCTCCCCCTCATTCAGTTTGACTCCATTTTCCAAGATCGTGATCTTCATATAGGAATGAGTTATTATTTATTCTCCAACTTGCTCACTCATTTCTATGGAAATACATAATGACACATCCTCCCAAGAAAGTCAGCTGGTGAGACCTGAATCAGAGAAACATATAAGGGGGCCCTGCTTCAATGTGACTCCGGCTAACCAGGAGACAGAAGAGAGGGTGGGTGTAGCAGAATGGGTGACACTTTGTAAAGAGATGAAGGCTCGTGAGGGCCAACATTGAGTGGAATTTCAACCAAAAGCAAAGAATGGAATTGGGTGATCTCTCTGAGGAAAGAAAACAGATGCTGCTGGAATGAAGAATCCATGTGGGGAGTAAGATTTAGTCACAAAGCAGGCCCAGATGATGTGGAATTGGGAAAGCCAGGCAGAGTGTCTCTTCTCTGCCCCTGCCCCCAACTCCATCTGTGGTCATAAAAAGTGGTTGTGGTTGCTGTCATTTGTTTTTGTTTTCATTTTTCCCCTCCCAAGTTCTTCAAAGAGATAGGCAGAAAGGAAGAGCCTGTGCCCTCTTTGGTGAAGCACAGAGAAGAAAATGCTCTTTCATGTTTCCAGGTTGTCTTCTCAGGGACAGCTCAAACTTTATCCCCAGGGGACTCAACGGATCCTTTCTCTGCTCAATTCAGTTTAGGCTGCTCTCTCTCTCTCTCTCTCTCTCTCTCTCTCTCTTTTCTTTCATGGTAAAGACTGCTTTATTGGTGGCAGTTAGTACAAGTCAGTAAATATTGATCCCCAAGAAGAGTTCAGTTACTTATCAGGTCACTCACTGGTCTATAGAGAGCTGAATTAAACTGAACCTAATGATTGCTGAGATGACTGTAAACAGTCCTGCTTCTTGGGAAGTGAGGCAATAGCCAACTGATACACAGGATCTGCCATCCCACCAACTGTGAGCATCACGGCGGCTCTATTCAGCAGGGCGTCAGCTACCCCACCTTTTAGATGCACTGGAATTCCGTTATCCTCCTGAAACAGCTTTTGTTTCTCTGGAACTTTCTTTTCAAAATGGCTGCATGAAGCAGAGCTGATGGTCCTTTGGTCAATCTGACGGAAACCCAGCAGATTCCGCAGCATCCTGCCTCGCTTACTGCCACCAACCGCGGCAACGGAACGCCAAGAACGAAAAGGCTCCTCTTTTCTTGAAGCCTGTGACAGGATATAGGTCAAACTCCTCCAATCTGGCAACTGGGTTCTTTGTGACAAGGACTAGGTGGTTAAACAGAGCTGGCTATCTCGATTAATGGGCCCACCTGGCCTCTTTCTGAAGAGAAATGCCATCATCCTTCCCAGAAGCCTATGTGCAGGCCTCAGAGACTGTGTCTGCCCGTAGAGTCCCTTACTCATGCCTGTCAGGAGGGGGACTGGCCTCAGTGGTGGTGGCAGTGGCTGCATCCCTCCTAATCGAGACTCCTTTGCCTTAGAAACTCATGTAGGTCACAGGGGAAAGTTGAGTCCAGATGGCATGAGGTGTTCCTAAGGTGTATTTACCATCCCTAAAATTTTATGTCACCCAACTAATGCCTCATTGCAAAGATATATCGACATTCTGGAAAGAAGAAAATACTGGCAGAGTGGAAGTTGGAATAACAGTTCTTGGTATTGACATAATTTGTTTCAAGTTCTCCAGGAACTTAAAAAAGTCTGGACCCCATTCTCAATGTGTACATTAAATTTTATGAAGGCACATCTCTTATTTCTTAAAAAAATAAAGATTCCAGTAATTTCTGCCTGGATCCTAATAGTTCAGTTTGATTCAGCTCTACAATGCGTCCCATTTGGAGACCAGGGATTACAGAATGGATTTCAAACATGTTAGCTTTGACTTAATGGGCGCTTCCCCACCCAAACCAGCCCATTTTTTTCCAGACTCATCTGTTGGTCCCTGTCTTGTACCAATGAGAACCCCCATTACTGCAGCTGCTGGTTTTCTCTTCTTTCTTTCTTTTTCTCTTTCTCTCTCTCTTTCTTTCTTCCATTTTAACAGTTTTGTTTTTGTTTCTTCTTTGTTTATTTTGAGTGCTGGGAATTGAACCTAGGGGTGCTTTACCATGGAACCATACCCCCAGTCCTTTCACTTTACTTTTTTGAGATGGCATCTCACTAAATTGCTGAAGGTCCTGCTAATTTTCTAAGGCTGGCCTCAAATTCACACTCTTTCTGCCTCAGCCCCCCAGATGCTGGGATTACAGGCTTGTGACGTTACCTCTAGCATTTTTGCAGGGTTTGTTTATTTTCCTTTTTGTATCGGGGGTTAAACCCAGGGGTGCTTAACCACTGAGCCACATCCTCAACACTTTTTTGAGACAGGACCTTGCTAAATTGCTGAGATTAGCTTTGAATTTGGTGATCCTTCTGCCCCATCCTCCCAAATTGCTGGAATTATAGGAATAAAGACCACACCTGCCATTTTAGCAGTTGTTAATGAAAGTTATATATTACTTTATTCCTGCGCCTTCTCAGATGTTTCTTTTGTATATTTGCCCCTTTCCTTTCCTACTTATCGAGATTTGGCTTTCTGACCATTTTGTGGTCCTGGCCCATTTTGTGGTTTAGCCTGGTGACAACCACCTCCTGGGACGCACGTCCACATGGGGCATTGTGCTTTGAGCCTGTTACCACTGTACCTGTTCAGGGTAGAAACTACCCCCTGCACCTCCTGAACTCCATCATCCTTTCAGGTGAGCAGAACTGAAGGCCGTACTTCTGTCAAATCTTTGAAAAGAGGGAAAGAGTTTATATTGTGAACACAGGAAGGTGTGTTGAAATATCTTTTATAGCCCCTGCTTTGGTCAGAAGTCACAAAGGGATTGACCTTCGTCATGGCCTCTGCCACTTCAGAGTGGTGGCAGATGCCCATGAAAGGGAAGAAAGTGCCTTCTTTTTTTTTTTTTTTTTTGGTGGTGGTGGTGATGGGGATTGAACCCAGGGCGGTGTGCATGCAAGGCAAGCACTCTACCAACTGAGCTACCTCCCCAGCTGGAGAGCACATTGCTTCTCTAACAAGTGTGTTCCCCTGTACTTGACTGTTCTAGTCAACTGGAAAATCTTTCTCCTGTTCTCTACTTTAACCCACTGTTAAATCTTTGTAAGAGTTGACTCCCTTAACCCAGAGGTCAACAAACTTTTTCTCTGAAAAGCCAGAAAGTACTTTTTTAAACTTTGCAGGCCATACTGTCTCTGAACCAACTACTCGGTTCTGCCAGTGCAAAAACAGTCACAGATAATATGTAAACGAATGAGCATCTCTGTGTTCTAACGAAACTTTTCTTGTGTATGTGTGGTGCTGGGGATTGAACCTAGGGCCCTCTACTGCTCTGCTCCATCCCCGGTGCTTCTGAATTTTTCTTTTAATCAGGGACTAGCTAAGTTGCACAGGTTGACCTCTAACTTGTGATCCTCCTGCCCCAGACTCCTGAGTTGCTGGAATTACAGGCACCACGCCCACCCAACAAAACTTTCTTCACAAAAATAGGTGGTGAACTGGATTTGGCCCTACAGTTATAGTTTGCCAATGGCAGTCCTAAAAGCTTGTCACTTTTCTTCTGTCCTCTCTCTGGCTTTTTCTCCATAATTGTGTTTACAAGTACATCTTTTCAAAGGAATGAGCTCCCTGAAGTCAAGGATTTTTATTCCTATATTCCAGAAGCTAGATGCCTGGGACTTAGAAGCTGTTCAATGAAGGCAGATTATCAAATATCAGGAATTATCATTATGTTCCTCATAGAAAAATGGAGGAAAATCTTTCGACTGGGTATAAGATCAAATGGCCTACTTCTGTGATCTAAAATGGAAGGTTATATAAAAATCATGATGAGTGAGATTAAAGGATTTAGCTTGAGTTTAAAATAGTCCCTCTAACAGGACAGCTGGTGTCCTACTCACCTGACTACCAGTTCACCTCCCTGTCACATTGTTTTGGTCCACAGCTTCAATAAGACCTACAGAATCACTTCATTTTCAATCACACAGCCACAGTTGAGGCCAGCCCCGCCATATGTTAATTTATATAATGCTTTATGATTTTCAAGGCAAGTAACACAATTCCTATTTTGTAGATAAGGCAACTGAAGCACATTAAGTGACTTGCTCCATGATCAATGCGGCTGGGACTTCTGATCCCCCACCTAGAACTCTTTTCATTAGACTAGACAGCCTCTCAGGTAATTAGAACAAAATGCCACCGTGAAAAATTAAGCCAAAGTATAAATTAATCCCATTTGAAAATCCAAGGAGACCTTGGGCAAATGTATATCAGGATTTCAATGGTATTCCATAAACGTGGCCCCGCGGAAGTGTAGACAACCCGCTAGCTTTGCATAAGATACATAAGTCTCAAAATCAATTTAAGGAGTCTTCATTTATCTTGGAAACGCAAAAATTTAGACTAGAACTTGGCTTGAATGAAGAGATTCACACCAAGTCTACACCCCCACCATTCTTGTAAAATGTTTCATGAACCCCAGTGTTGAAGACCTGGCTGTTTGGTTTGCTGCCCACGCACACTGTGCAAGGTTAACACTGACTCAAGCCAGAGGACTTCTGACGACATCACCACCACCTACTACAATCCTCTGCTCTGTGTCCCTTGGAAACCTCTTGCCTCAGTTTGGGCTCAACCCAACCCACTTAGAAGGAGAGAGCAATTTTACAGCCCCGCATGGAGCGACGCCCAGCCAGTTGTATCTATTTCCAAGTGATCTGACGCAGCAAACGGATCATGTTTCCTTTGGAGGCTTGGCTGAGAAGAATGAGGCTGGCAACGTTGTACCCGAGCAAATAAGACTGTCAAGAGAAATCTGAAATGGCCTCTAAGGAAGGCAGACTAATGAGATGCTCAGGTCCACGGGTAGGGTGCTTTCTGGAGAGATTGAAAAAAGAAAGGAAGGCGAGGTGACCATGTGTGAAATTCAGAAGAGCCAATGATTTGGGGAGGCCAGGCAGATTGGCATATGCCCAGTACTTTTCTTAGAGCAGGCATCGGGCCCAAAACAACTCAGAAAATCTACCTCTTATTTTTATTCTTACCTTTAATCAGACTTTTTATTGAATTTCTTACGGTTGGTTACCTGTCCACCTTACCGCCATCCTGCCGAAGGAGGCAGGGACTCCCAGTGGGTTTGCCAAAGACCAACAGAACCCTGTGTTCAATTATTCTGGTGGCAGGGAATAGTGATTAGGGAGTTCCAGGAATGGGATGTGGGAATAGCAGAGAAATTAGGTTTCACTTAAGATCCTTGGAAAGAAATAAATACCCCGTTGCTAGGATGGAAACCGAGTTGGTTCTTCACAGATCATTTGAAGGAATGAGCTGAACCCTAGAATCAACAGCTAACCCAGATGACTTTCCATTCAGATGAATAATGGCAGATCTTTGGGCATCAATTCCACGGGCACATATCTGGTTCCTTGTTCTCTTCTTTGGTTATGCAAAGATCTTTTTAAAGGCAAAGACACAGGGACAAAGTTGGGCTCCTTGAGGCTGTTCCTTGAGCAAGAACAGGTGTGTACCTCTGGTGATCCTCTTAGCAAAGGATGTCTTCATGACTCTTCTTTTCAAATACTATGACCACTGGAGTTGTTAGCAGGAAAGAGTTTTTAAAGAATAGCTGTCACTTCCCTTAGCTTTGTGCTCTTCATAGGTGTTTCAGGCACCTACTGCGTGCCAGACACTTTTTTCAGAATGGTGCAAATCTGCCTTGCCCTTAATGCCTCAGGTGTCTATTAGGAAAGAGCATTAGAAGTAACCAGAGCAGAAAGACTATGAGAGAAGATGGAGAAGGGGAAGGGGCCAACATAAGGAAAGTTCACCAAGAGTAGACATGATCTACCGTCCATTCACCCACACTTTGAATCCTCCAGTACATCTGCTTGTTACTTGCCAGGGATTCAAAAAGAAATGACATAGAGTACAGGGAAGAGGACTGGGAGGCCAGAGGCAGCAGTGGGGGTGAAGGCTGAAAACAGATTGGACCATGTAGGTCCCAACTCTGAAATTTGTTCTGTAGGTAATGAGGAGCCGCTAGGTCTTTCTGCAGGTGGTGGCTCAGATACCCACCCTGCCCCATTATTTCCAC